CTGGACCCCCAGCCAGCACCCAGACACCAGCCCAGTACCCAGACCCCAATTCAGGACCTGCACCCCCAGCCTGAGACCCAGACCGTGACCTGAGATGTGGACCCCAGTCCAGAACACGACCCCTACCCAGAACCCAGACCCCAACCCACTGCACCCAGTGCCTTCCAGTGCTTCTGAGTGCATCCCATTACATCCCAGTGCCTCCCAGTGCACCCAAGGCCGAGCCTGCAGAGCTCACACACTTCCCCGTCGCCCTTGGGACCAGCACGAGGTCCCATCTCCATCCCGGCCAGACTCTGTCCCGACTCCTCAGCATCACCCGTTTCTTTCCATCCTCTCATCTGGGATGGGTGCCCGGAGCTGGCACCGCTGCAAGGCAGCTCCATCCCCCACCAGTGTCCCCGTCCCCATCCCCGCAGGGGACAGCGGCCATGGCTCCTGTCTCGCCTGGGATTAGTGGGTTAAGCCTGGCCGCAGCATCAACAGGAACCGAGCCTCGATCCCCTGGGGTGCCCCTGGGAACGCGTCAGGTGTCCATCAGCACCCAGGGTATCTTGCAGGATGCTCATGGGTGAGGGTCCACCTCCATCCCCGGGGTGGTCCCATCACCGTGCGTGTCCCTGCAGTCTCGGTGATGCACATCGAAGGGGTGCGTGAAGGACATCAGTCGGAGGGTCTACGCAAGTACGGTGCCGCCTTCCCCGAGCGGCATTGCTTCACCCTCGTCTTCAAGGGCAAGCGCAAGAACCTTGACCTGGCCGCCCGGGGCGAGGAGGACGCCCACCACTGGGTGCAAGGGCTCACCAAACTGATGGGCCGGCTGCAAGCCATGAGTCAACCGGAGAAGCTTGACCAATATCTTTTGTCAGAGCTATGGGGGCTTGGGGGCAGGTTGGGGACGGCCGTGGTGGTGACACCGGGTGGTTTCCTTACCCCGGGTGTAGCTGGATCCATGGGGTCCTGCAGCGAGCAGACAGGAACAAGGACAACAAGATGTCCTTCCGGGAGGTGAAGAGCATGCTGAGGATGATCAACATTGACATGGATGATGTCTACGCTTACAAGCTCTTCAAGGTACCCGTCCTGTGCTCCAATACCCACCATCCCCCCACTGCTGGCACCGGGAAGGAATGCTGGCTCCTCCTCTGCCTTCCCAAGCACAGAGAACTGTCAAAACTTGTCACACCCGAAGCCATCCACCATCACTGATGGTTGGGTCCATCACCAATGGTTGGGTTCCATCATGAGCAGGAAGGAAGCTCATGATGGGGTGGGCTGAGCTGTCCCCCCTCCACTGCTTTGTGGCTCCCCAAGGTGCTGTCCCCATGGGCCTCTCCCAAGGTCCCTTTCCACCTGGGGAAACTGAGGCACAGCCCTTTGTTCCATTCCAGGCTGGAGGGTCAGAGGACTATGGGTGGGGGGGACAGAAGGGACATATCCCTGCATTCCACCTAGGCACAACCCAACCCTGAGCCCTCATGCCAGTAGCTGAGCCTCCTCCAAACTCATCACACACGCTGCCAACCCCAAAGGACAGGCAGGATGAGGCAGGGGGGGTGGCTGTACCCCCTCCCCACGGGCAAGGGACGGTCCCAAAGTTGGGTTGCGGTCCCATCAGGAGTGCGACCGCTCGGGTGACGAGCGGCTGGAGGGTTGGGAGCTGGAGGAGTTTTGTCGACGGTTGCTGCGACGGCCGGAGCTGGAGGAGCTTTTTGGGCGTTACTCGGGTGAGGACCGCGTCCTGTCGGCCGAGGAGCTGCGGGATTTCCTACGGGATCAGGGCGAGGATGCCAGCCTGCGCCAGGCCCGTGCCGTCATCCGCACCTACGAGCTCAACGAGAAGGGTAGGGCTGAGGACAGCCAGGTTGGGTGGTGGTGGGATGGTGGGATGGGCACTGCCAAAGCCGAGGGACGTCATGGATGGTGTGGGGATGGGGCTCTGCTTGGTGGTGTCACCCCCCCAAGCTGGTACCAGGTCCTCCAAGGCTTGAGTGGGTGTCCCCATGTCCCTTCCCCGGGCTGGCACTGGTGTCAGCAGTTCAACACATGGCCTTGCTGGTCCTTGGTGGATGTGGGCATGGTGAGGACAGGGGACCTGGAGGTGGGGATGGACAGCAGGTGGACCTCCATGTTTCCTGGGTGATGCAGTGCCAGATGTGACACAGCTGGGTGACCCTCCATGTCCCTTGGGTCTCACCATGGCAGGTCCAGGGTCACCATGGCCCTAGGAGGACAGGGAACGTCATGGTGGGGATGAAGGACCTCCATGTCTCTTGGGTATCACAGTACCTAGGATAGATGTGGCACTAGTAGGATGGGAGACATCAAGGTGGAGATGGGACACCACAGGGACGTCCACATCCCCTGGGTGCCACAGTGCCAGGTCTGGGGTGAACATGGCACTATGAGGACCGAGGATGTCAGGATGAGGACAGGGAACCTCCACATCTCATGGCGAATGTGGCACTAGCAGGATGAGCAACATCAGGACGGAGATGGGACACTCAAGGGAACTTATGTGTCTCCTGGGTGTCACAGTCCCAGGTCTGGGGTGAACATGGCACTGCTGGGAGACAGGGGACAGCCAGGTGGGGACAATCCCTGGGGTGCCACCCTGCCAGCGGCCTGCCAGACCTCTGTGACACCCCACCGCTGTGTCCCGCAGCCAGGCAGCAGGACCTTATGATGCTGGATGGCTTCATGATGTACCTCCTCTCGGCCGCCGGTGACATCCTCAACCAGGAGCACACCAAGGTGCACCAGGACATGAACCAGCCCCTGTGCCACTACTTCATCTCCTCCTCCCACAACACGTACCTGACCCGCAACCAGATCGGTGGCACCAGCAGCACCGAAGCCTATGTCAGGTGGGTACCCCTGGTCAGATGCTCCATGCCCAAATAGTCCCATGGTTCGAGGGTGCTGGGCTGGCACAGGGACTCATCCGATGGTGGTTTGGTGGCAGGGCGCTGATGGCAGGATGCCGTTGCGTGGAGCTGGACTGCTGGGAGGGCTCTGATGGGGAACCCATTGTCTACCATGGCCACACGCTCACTTCCAAAATCCTCTTCCGCGATGTCATTGAGAGTATCCGTGACTATGCCTTCAAGGTAAGTCAGGTGCCAGCAGCCCTGGGACAGGTCCTGGGTGCTGGGTGCTGAGCGCTGCCCATCCCTGTCCCCAGCAATCACCCTACCCTGTCATCCTGTCGCTGGAGAACCACTGTGGGCTGGAGCAGCAGGCCACCATGGCCCGGCACATGAAGACCATCCTGGGGGACATGTTGCTGACGCAGCCACTGGAGGGGCAGGACCCCCATGACCTCCCGTCCCCAGAGGGAAGGGCACCCACCCGCCTACCATGGTGTTCCCATGCCCCCTCCAAGCCCTGAGCTCGGCCCTTCCTCCCGCAGCAGCTGAAGGGAAAGGTCCTGGTGAAGGGCAAGAAGCTACCAGAGCAGTGGCACAAGCCCCGGGGAGTCACCTCCCTTCCAGACCCCGAGGAGGAGGAGGAGTAAGAGGAGGAGGAGGAGGAGGAGGAGGAAGAGGAAGAGGAGGAGAAGGAGGAGAAGCTTCAGGAGAGAAGCAGCCGGCAGGTAAGGGGCTTTCCCAGGGCTATGGTGCCGGGGGACGATGAAATCCGGGTGGTCCCGGGGGACCATGGAATCCCGGTGGTCCTGGAGGACCATGGCATCTGGGTGGTCCTGGAGGACCATGGCATCCGGGTGGTCCTGGGGGACCACGGCATGCTGGCAGTGCCACAGGACCAGTGTGTCCCAGCAGTGGTGGGGCCCGGGGCAGGTGATCACTGCCAGCATCCCCCAGTGCAGCCCTGTTATCTCTCCTCTTCCAGTCGCTGCAGTCTCTGCAGGAGATCAAACCTCTGCAGGTGGGTCGTAGGATGGAGCTGAGTGGGCTGACGGGTCGGGTACCGTGGGGGTGGCGAGTGGCTGTCACTGCCCAGGCAGAGGGGACTGAGCTTGGGGACTCCCCAGCTGTGGGGAGTCTTGGGCTGGGTGCTCCATTTCTGGGGTCTCCATCACCTTGGGGTCTCCATTGCCTTGGGAATTCCATGACCTTGGGTCTCTATAACTTTGGGGTCTCCATCATCTCCAGGGTGACCCTTTGGGGTCTGTTCTCTATTGCCTCAGTTCTCCATCATCCTGAGGTCTCTGTTATCTCAGGTTCTCCATCATCTTGGGTTGTCCATCACTTCAGGGTCTCCATCACTTTGGGGTCTCTAACATCTTGGGTTGACCATCACATTTAGTTCTCCATGACCTCAGGGACTCAACCTGCTTGGATTCTCTATCATCTCAGGGTCTACCACTCCATTGCCTCAGGTTCTCCATCACTTTGGGGGTCTCCATGGCTTTGGGGGTCTCAGCACTCAGCACTAGCAGGGTAGCGGGATCTGTAGACCCTCAGACAGGCTGGTGGCCACCAGAGCCAGGCTGGCCCTGACAGCATGGTGGTTTCCACAGGCCAAGGATGCATCACAGGTGGCCTCGGAGCTGTCGGCTGTGGTGGTGTACTGCCAGGCTGTCCCCTTCCCCGGCCTGGCCCATGCTCTGCGCCATCCCCGGCCCTGTGAGATGTCCTCCTTCAGTGAACGGAAGGCTCGGAAGCTCATCAAGGAGGAGGGTGAGGGTGATGGGATGGGGATGAGGATGGGGACAGAGTGGCTCCATGCTTCTGACCTCATTGGGATGCAGGACGGGGCTGAGACCCATGGGCTTTGTCACTGGGGTGGTGTCACTGGTGTCTCCATGGGTGGTGGCTAGAGGAGCGCTGGCATCAGCTGGGTTGCTCTGGTCTGGTGGGTCTGGGGCCAGAGGCCGGGGTGAGGGTCACAGGTCTGGGACCAAGGGCTGGGGTCTGGGTTTGGGATGTGACATCTAGGACCAGGGTCTGGTCTGGGGTCTAGGGCTGGGATTAAGATCTGGGTTAGGGTCCTGGGACTGAGGGCTGGAGCCAAGGTCTGGGGTTCAGGGTCCAGGGTGAGGATGTGAGGTCAGGGTCTGCGGGTCCAGGGCTGAGATTAAGATCTGAGTCAGTGTCCAGGGTCTGGGGTCCAGGGTCAAGGTTTGGGGTCCAAGACCAGAGTCTGGGGTCCAGGACCAGGATCTGGGGTCTGGGTTCAAGGTCTGCCATCAGGATCAGGGTCCAGGGTCAAGGGCTGGGATTAAGATCTGGGTCAGGTTCCAGGGTCTGGGGTTTGGGTTTAGAGCCTGAGGTCCAGGGTCAGGGTCTGGGGTCTAAAGTCAAGGTGTGGAGTCAAGGTCAGGATCCAGGGTCACAGTCTGAGGTCTAGGGCTCAGATTAAGGTCTGGGTCCACATCCAGGGTCTGAGGTCTGGGGTCAGAGGTCCAAGGTCAAGGTCCAGGGTTGGGGTCTGAACCCCAGGGTCCAGTTTCAGGGTCTGGGTCACGTTTCAGGCTCTGAGGCCACCCAACTGGGCAGGTTCCATCTATGTCCCCAGGCACACGGGTGCAGGCAGAGCACAGTCATCTGCTGGCAGGGCCCCACACCAGCACCCATGGGTGCAGTGGCCCCACTCAGCTGTGTCGTCCCCCCCACCCAGGCCCGGCACTGGTCCGATACAACACCCGGCAGCTCAGCCGCATCTACCCACTGGGGCTGAAGATGAACTCCTCCAACTACAACCCCCAGGAGATGTGGAACGCTGGCTGCCAGCTGGGTGAGACCTCACGGTTCCCAGGGGACTCCCCATAACCGGGCACCCCTCCCTGCTCCTCCAGAG